TATGTTAATTATGCCCTAAGGTCACATTTGCTCCGATTCATCGGCCGGCACCCGGCCAATAACAGTATTTTGTTCGAAACTGATTTCAACTTGCTTCAAATTGACCAAACTTGTTTTTAAAATCATGTGCAAGGTCTCAGGACTTCATATCTGACCTCAAATTTGAGATTTGACCTTCGATTTTGAACAAAATACTCAGTCTGCCTGGCGCCGGTCGGTGAATAGGAGCAAATGTGGCCTAGGCATTACAGATGAAATTGTCACAAAATTGTTACTAATTGTTCCAAAAATCGAAAATCAGGATTTCTTTGCTAAAATGGAATAACGTTATGATGATAGGCTGATTATATTACTATTACGCATGTGCACTCGAAACAAATTAAGGTTAGAACGAATCATGAATCGTAGTTTCAAGTAGGCATTCATTATGTGCAGTGATGACTTTTCTTAGATTGAGAGCTAATTTCACAAATAAAGGCAGATTATTAGACATCCTTTTTGTGAATTTCCTCTTTCGATTGTAAAATCTGTTTTTCTGAATTGTGATATCACAAACAAAAACTATCACAATTTCTACAACATAAAGACAAGTCACATATAATTATCAGCTAAACACATGGTTTATCTGTGTGATTCTAAATACTTCTAAGAATTACACCAGTGTCCCATTTTTTATTGTCCACCCTGTATAACCAAGAGATATCCAATGTTTCAAGTGCACATGCCAATGACAATCTCTAATTGGGTATGTAATTAATTAACTAGTTGAACTTAACATATATTTGATAAGCTATTCTAGAATATCAGAGGCTTTGACTAGGCTGATTGTGTTTTCCATTGTGCCATAGTTCTTGGACGGTTTCCATTCAAATGTTGTTTTCTTTATCTAACATTAAATCATAGTTTGGATTGGAAAATTGGGATTTGTTTTCCCTTCCGACGATTGGATATTCTCTCCAATATGTTTCCTTTTCTTGCTGTGCTTAGTTCGTAATGCTTACAGGTCCTTTTGACACGTTACGTATTCACTACCTTTCGGGTTTCCCTAATTTGTCTTTCTGTCCGTCTGTCCGACTGTCCGTCTGTCCGTCTGTCTGTCTGTCGAAAAAAGTGACACGCTTTAAACCTCCCTCGATAAGATTCCCATTTCAAATCATTTTTCTTTATGGATCATTAGTTTAAAGGTATGTTCTCATATAAGTATGGCTGTCAATTAGACTAATCATCAAACCGTCATCCTCCAATTGCTCCAAAATCCAGAATATCTTCTTTCGAGGAAGAACGGACTCTGGACGTCTGCTTTGGAGGATGCTAAATCGTGTGACCCCAGTTATCCATGGTACTATTTATATTACTCTCTGGGTAAGTTCCCTTTGACCACTGGTTACCATGAATCAGTCTCCATGGCCTTCAATTATGGAAATTTCATATTTTTGATTGTTTGCAAAGATTACTATAACCCATGCAGTCTGCGTATATTTCCAATCAAATATCCTGTTCACTTTTTTTCATTATATACAACAATAAAATCTAAACGAATCGTTTCCTGGGTATGGAATATAAAGTTGATTTATTTTCTTCGCTATTTCTATATGGAAGAAAGACGCATTCACCCTGCTTTGTAAAGTATTTCAGTTTATCGAGAGGGAATATTGGTTTTATTGAATCGAATCAGTAATAGGTAGACACCGGTGTCGGTCTATTCAATATACTATAAATGAGGAGTAAGATAAAATAAAGAAACTGCGACGACGTGGTGAGCTGTAAAGTGAACATTTTCAAGAATCAGATTATGTGTATTGGAAAGAGGAGAAAGGGAGGGAATCGCTCTAATTAGCTCTGACCTGATTAAAACTGATAATGATATGTTCTTCTGGAAAAATGAACAAATTTCACACTTTGAAAAATGAATCACTGGTAAATTAAATTAAATGAAAGTCCGTTTATATCAGCAACTAATGAACTGTCTCCTCCAACAATGTCTGAAAGAGTTTTATTGCATAATTGCCTGTATAATTGCAGTGAAATGGTTGAGCGAACAAACATGTCAGCTTTCGAGCAGATATCACCTTCTCGAGATATATGTTATGCATGTCATTTTATTTTTACTCAAATGACACCTTCATAATTAACAAGGCATTAACATGAAAAATGTCACCAACTGCCATTTGTTACATTCGCCAGCCACCGAACATCGACCATCCAACACCGTCCACATAAATGTTGGAGACTATAGTAATATGTCACTATTTCTGGTAGTGACATAAAAAATGAAATGCGCATGTGCGTCTGAAGGGGGGTACGTTGGGTGCGACAGTACTCCCCGATTCTTTCCCTTTTTAGCCAGTCCCCGGGGATTTCCTTCATGATGCCGAGGAGGAGAATCGGAGGAAAGAAGAACAATGTGCTCTGGGGGAAAAGATGGAGAAGCTACAGAAGACTTCAAATGCAAGCTTAACGAGTGAGAATATTTTTAGAGACGCACCCCATTAGAAAAATTCTTAGGACGCCAGGTCATCGGAAACTGCATGCCAAACTCGTATTGTTTGATTTAACCTGGGGACCCTTGCTGGTAATCAGTGATTCACTATATCCATCTCTTAAGGACAGAATCCCTGTTGACCACACTTAACGAGGAGGATCCTCTTCTGGAGGAATTATCGAAATAGATACAATAAATCCCTGGTAGATTGAGTTAATGAAAGTCCGTTTACATTAGCAGAGATTTAACATATCTTCGTCAACAATGTCTTAAAGAAGACATATTGTTTAATTACCTTATAGGGACATGAGTGAGAGATCAAACATGTCAACTTGTATACTCTGGAAGATATTTCCGCAATGTAGCCGAATGAACGGTATTAACCCTTTCAAGATTGTATCATATGACCACAAAACGTTTTCTCTCTAAATTGAATGACGCATATTGAATGGCAGGGTGAGAAGCAGTTCATAAAATACTGTATCTTGAAGATATTACAAAGTCATATCTGATCGTACAGAAAATACATGTTATCAAATACATAGTATATCATTGTTCATTAGTCTTTTATTGTCATATAATGCCACTAATGGATACAATGATGTAGGACAGATTCTCCGCTAATAGGATTCAGTTTGTAAAGAATCATTAACACTTTCACCTATTTCTCAAGAACATGAAAATAAGATGCAAGAGAGCAATCATCTTTTCTTCAACTTCTCATAGGCACATCGCTATGGGGTTTTTCAAGAATTAATTAGTTATAATGTTGAAATTTTGTTGCTGACTGAGGACAGAGAAGTATACGCGAAATGAATGATTCGATAAGTGAATTTTTTAGATGATAAAAATTTACAAAATAAAAAAGTTAATTGTAAAAAAGTTCATGAATCATAGACAATGAAGATAAATGTTTTAATTCTTGAATTCGGCATATTCCATCTAAAATTTCAATAACAGCCGAACCAATATCATCCTTAGCGAAGTCGTTTCAAACTGGGGCAAAATTTTTAGATTCCAAAATTTGTCTGGCGCTATTTGCATATTCTGAACAATAAATATTTCCTAACCATATTAGAAAGAATAAACATCTCTTTGCCTCGTTTTGACCTCTGACCTTGACCTAGATAGAAAAAATCCCCAAGGGTCAGCTCAGTATATCACTTGAAGGGCCATGCAGTACGATAAGCTAGCTTAAAGTATGACAAGGGTCGTTTGGGAATAAATTGAAGAAATAGGAAATTCACAAAAATACCCTCTTTAATAATATATTGGCAAAAAAATAATAGAAGGCCTCTCACAGAGGGCTTTAGCTAGAATTAAAGATTTATTCAAGGCCTTGAAGGGTGGTAACTCATCCCCTGCCCTCATTTAAACAATCGATCTGATATAAATGTAGACTGTACGGTATCATTTTCAGAAGTTCATCAAAGTACACTGTTAATGTAGGTGATGGCCGATGCCTGAAAGAATACCGTATTGTATCACTCCGTATGATATAGTGATGTTCAGGTATTAATAAGTTCATTTACCTCAGCATATCTTACTCATGCAGCATTAACAGATGTATACGTCATGATCAGGTTCTCCAATCTCAGACAAGTAAAGAGTAATTCTAGCTTGAGTGTGGTCATGGGTGTAATAACCTATAAATCGAACAGGTAACCGACACATTGCTCCAAGTGATGAGCCTTGCCTTTTCTGGGGATCTTTGCTCTTTAAGGCAAATTAAAATGTTCTAAAGCGATTCTCTGATATTTTGAAATGAAAACTGTCATAAACTAAGGTTTAGTGGGTATCTCGTATCTGTTGCCACACAATGAATTGTATCAAATTTCATAAATTACATTCGTTATAGATTTTCATATGAAATGAACGAGGGTATCTCGAAAAGCCTAGATATTGGAATATCCCGGATCACCTAACTCTCACGACTTAGGGATGAGTACGATGACACAATAGTATCATGATGCTAAAACTGAACTGGTACAGTATAAAACAGTTACATTCAATAAACACGTTCCTAATGTAATTAAGAGACTATATTCAGTCAATGAAGGATGGCAATGAATGATGTGATTTGTCTTAAATTCGTAACTATTTCCGGCAACAAATTCAAACATGTTAAATGGTTGGAAAACATCTCATATTAATCTGAACGATCACATCGATATTTTAGCCCACTCCTAAACTATGTAGAACATCCTAGGTAGAACCCATAAGATTTATTGAGATATTAAAAGAAATCTTACTGGAAGAATACTTGCATGCATCATCGCATTGTTGACTACGTACGCTTAATCCTCACCACCATGTATTATACAGGCGTATTTTGTAATTTGCCATCGACTGAGAAGAATAAAGGCACATGAAAGAATTCGAAATCGATGCTTTTGGAGAATCAAATAGTCATAACTACGCATGCGTGCGACTCAGAACCAATCTTAAATAGACAAAACAGTAGAACTTACTTTCATTTAGTTATAACTTTTCATTAGAGAAATGATACAAAGAATAGATCGCATAAGCTGTGTGAGTTTTTAACCCGGATTATTACTTCACCTGATTTATGGTAAGAATGTATAAATCTATAAATATCTATTAGTTTCTAAAGTGTAAAGTTTGCATTAAAATTAAAATGATCAGCTTTAATTTGGAATTGTTTTGGGCAACGTGATCGCATTCTCTCATTTATCAAAGTTATGATTCAGTATCATAGAACTGTTCCAATATTTAGTAGTTTTTTTCGTTTTTGCTTTGCTGTACGGTACCGTATACTTAATTGTACGTTGTAATATCTTCATAGCTGGGTTGGATTTTAAAATGTTCAACAAGTTATCGTGAACGGGTCATGAGTTCAGATCCCCTTCGTGAGAGAGTGGCATTTAGCACAGAAAATATTCTGCTTTTCATCTGTTATGATATTTTCTATTTTTCTATGATATTTTTGCAAGTCTAATAATACTTAACACATCGAAGTGTCAAATACATGGAAGTGGATTAATGAGTTTATGAGGATCATATTTTCGGTTAAGAATACCATCAAAATATTAAAGGGCAATTAATTAAGTCTGAAAAGACGGAAATTGTATAGAAAATGATTTTCTGGCACAATGTACCAGAAAACGAGCGAATACTTCTTCAATAAAGATATTGAACTTGAAGTATCACGATATAAATTTACAAGCTGTCCCATTTGCAACAGTTTACTGGTTAGTTTTTTAATATAATACCACAGTGAATACACCGTTGCTCGTATCTTTGGAATATTGGGCACTTCACATATAAGATCTGTTACGCAGAATATGGCATATATTCATGGTTGCACGGTATTTGTAATACTGGTGAATATGCCATACTAACCTGCGGTATATGACATACACCTCAGTTGAGTATTGCATATTCGGCAGTGAATATGCGATACATTGATTTCAGTGAATACCCGATACTCATCTGCGGAATGTCATTCTCACTTGCGGAAGATACCTTATATCCCGGGTGAGTATGACATATACCGCAAGTGAAAACGTGATATAGAAACCTTGATTTGATTGGTTGCGAGAATCGAATCTAAATGTAAAACTACGCTGGGTTACCAATATAGTTTAGTGCTTTGAGTACTATTATATGAATCCTGGATTTATTGAGTAAGTTTATCGTTCGTGCAATCGACGCAACTGACAATTGCATACTTCCGTACACCGTTCTAATTGCAATTGGTACGTGAGTATGCAATATACCGTTGTTGAATCCATCATACACCGCAAGTGAATATGCCACATTCGTTGCGGAATATGACATATATTTGTATCGTGTTTACCGCGTAACAAGTTCAGCACATTTCCAAACAGCATCAATGTACAAAACTTTTACTTTTATGGAACTATGCAAATATGATTTTTCTTAATACCCAGTCAAAAATCGTTCTTGGAAAATTCGATTAGTTTTAAAAATACATGTACGCCCTTCTACCAGAATATTTGCACAAAAATGTGTGAATTTTGACAGATTAATAACCGAAAAATTAAAATGAAAGAAAAAGTAAATGCGCATTGGAAAATATGAGCAACAGTGTACAATCACAAGATCATGCGAGATAAAGATAACCGAACGATGGAACCGTTTAATGAGAAATTGGCAGATTCGGCTAATCCTAGCATCGCATTGCAATTTTGTTAGTGATCGTTGATGGTGGGGAAGATCATATAAAATAGTGATCATGGAATGGTTTGTAATTACAAGCCCCATAAAATACGATATCCATAATGGAACTTGTAGTTATTGATATTTCACCATCTTTGAGTATAGCAACTTATGCAATATTGGAGAATACACACTTCGGAGACAAAAATCTTATGCAATGGCAGAAGCTTTCGTCACCCAAACAAGCTCGGTGACTTAATAGAATTTTATTTTCTAACTCTTGAACTCCACTGACCGCCCTCTCAAGTTTGACTACAAGATGTAGTACAATTGCAGCAACACTCGATTGCAACAACACCCACTTGAACTGGAATCAATGATCAATTTTGATGTCCAAGTTTACCAATATCTGAGGTCGTCACATTAATTTTATTTGTTTTTCTTTCATGAATCAGGATTTGTAATGAATTAATTCTCACTTAATTTGGCCATTGTACTGATATACCACTGCATATGAGATTACCGTGGTGCCACAAGAAATCATACGAGAGGTGATCCAAACCCGGATTCAAAGAAAAGTAAATTGTCGCGGACGTAATTTGATCGAAACTTGATCGTAATTTGATCGTGGGTTGATTAGAACTTTACAAAGTATTTCCACAATGTCCACGGCAATATATAGAACTTCAAAGTGTGATATCACTGTTTGCCTCCTGTTATCCGATTTTGGGTCGTAAACCAAACATATTTTGGAAACGCAGTGCAGACACTATGGCAACGCGGGTCCAGGCATCATACACAATTGACACATCTGGAAACGAGGTGACAGCAATGAAGCTGATGTTCTATTGTGTACGGTAATTGCATAATCAAAGTATATTATATCTGCTATTTTTCAAGGGACTTGGACGCGCTTTTTTGGTGCGTTGGCCTGCCCCCAAAAACTAGTAGGCGATGTGAATTTCAAATCGGTTTCTTTTTCCCGCGACATTTATACTAATTGTAGATGTGTTCGGTACAGGGACAGCTTTCCAGTGCTTTATCTTCTCTTGTTGACAAAAGTGTGTTAGATGCAAGATTAAATCAACAAAAACCTCGATAGAAAAGCTTAAAGCATAACTACTTTGAGCTTTGCATATCAGAGAAAGTTGGTACCCGAGCCACGTTGCCATACAATATAATCTATGCTGTCGACTAGTTGCCATATTGCAGAAAATGACTGCGCCGCGTTTCCGGCTAGTTCAATTTTGTAATCAGATTGCGAGAAAAACAAACAAAAGTTTAAATCTTAATCTGTATGGTATGGTATATTCTATATGCGTCAGACTCAGGCCATTGAATGCCAACGTTACATTTGCTCATGAGTGGCGAAATACCACCTAAATTGGAATTAGAGGACAGTTCAACAAAATAAGATCGGTAAATCATCATTTGTGTTGACTATTTCTTTACACTGGTCAATGCCTGATCAGAAAAATTTCTATGAATTAACAAACCTTGAGGGATTGTTCACCGAATGTGAATCACGAGTTTTCAAAAACTTGCCCATGTTTCAAGGAAATAGAAGACGAAGTGGCTCAGATAATCGGGGTTGCCTCCAATTTGGTCTGTAACGCGTTGCAGCCTCGTTTTGAACAGCTACGCGTGGCTGCGCCGCGTCACCTCAATCCACCTTGTTAAACCAATGATTGAGTCCTAGGTTCACACATTGTAATTGTTTATATGAGTATAATTTCAATTAGAACAAAGAAATTATAAATTATTGTTTTCTAGCCTTCCGTAAGGTTACATAATTAAATAATAGCAATACTTCCGCTTAATGGAATGCATTTTGAGTAGTTTCCTGAAACAATCATTTGTATTCTGATATAAAATGGTATTAATTCCAAAGAACAATAAAATACATTCCAATTAGTAGTATTGTTGAACTTTATTGTATTGATCCTCTTCTCTAAATGTCAATATTTGGAGGGGCACATATTGGTTGATCTTTATTGATAAAGTATGTGAATTTATCATTGAAGATCATATGTCATCTTGATCTAGCTATGTAATATTATGATTGGAAGGAATATAGTAACATATCGGCATGTCACCCCTTTAGATAATTCGATTTTCCTTCTTTGAGAGAGTTTTTATCTCTACGCACTGGACTTCGAATTCGATGACCCGAGGGCAGTCTTATGTTGGTTTGAGCAATCTAGAATATCAGCGCTTCCATGAGCCATGAGAGGGGGATATGAATAAACTGTAATCGATCATCCTGTTATTTTTGATCGCCCCTCGTACATCATTATTATTTTTCTTCCTTGAGAAAGTGTAACTTGAGGAGGCTACTTGTTGTCTGTTGATACCATAAGACCAACGCGTCCCCGATTAAACCAAAACATATCATTCACTCCTTAACACGCTGAGCTGGCAGACTTTGTTTCTCAACTAATGGGGGTTCCCCGAATAGTGACAAGGTGACCTGGCCTCTGAAATGTGACTAAATCCGACTTTTGGTATTTAAAAACGAACGAATGTGACAAATAAATGCTTGCAAGTGAAAATTTTGAACATTGATCGGACTGACAAGTGTTTTGAGAGACAAAAATAGACCATTCGTTCTGAATGTAATAGGGTGCAAGTAAATGTGACTTATTCTAACCAGTAATCAAACAATGGAACATAACAAACAATTTGTTGCATTAAATGCTTTGACCGACTAAAAGGGAAATGGCTCTGACAAAATATGACAAGTAAATTTTTGAATGAGACAAATGAAATATTGGGAATTTTAAAAGTGACTATTTAGCGACCTCTTTTGGAGACACGAAGGTCTCTTCTAAGAAGCGAAGTAGGGATTGTAAAGAGCAACTTGTTAGTCGTAAAATATGGTGTGGATGTTTCATATCGTTTCTGACAATTTATTAGATTGTCTTCATCTCTGCCCTATGAAAATGACAACGTTCATATACTGTTTTACGTTCATGTTCAATAAAGCAACTAGAATTTAAATAATTGTACAAGTTGAAGGGCCATAGTATCCTATATATTATATTTAACCGTTCCCTGGAGATGCAAGTATTTACATATGCATTTATCCCGGCTTTATTCACCAACTTATATTATACACTAAGGAATTAACAACAATACACTTACTTTTAATATCCATTATTATGATTATGATTAATTTCATTCTCGCTCAAAAAACTTATATGTATTGTGAACATTGATATCTATTATTATTGTCTCGCAACTGTGGCCAATTACGTGTGAATAGACAGATGATTTACTACCATCAAGAGCAAAGTTATTGCCTTGAATCCATTACGAATCAAAGGGTAGAATAAAAACAAGAATGAAACGACAATGACCGTCAATAATCCCACGTGTACACTCTCTGTTTGTATTAATTAAACCAAATCATATCCCTAATGGGATACC